CACCAGGCAAGACGCCACAGACAGCTCTGCCAAAAGCTCCTCCGCTCTCCAGCTCTTATCATCGCCCGGAGATCAAGTCGAAGGAAGCAGTGCCTCAGCCGCAAGCTCGCCCTCTGCAGAAAGAAGCTCAGCTGTTTTCAATCCAGTCGTTGCCTTTAGACTCCTTCCACCAGATTACAGCGCCCCAGTACTTCCACGAGAAGCCCGTAATCCAAATCTTGCCTGAAACCCCGAAGCCGAAGACATTCCAGGTAACGACAACGCCTCGTCCGCCCAAGAATGCGGCGCCACGGAGAGAACAGCGCCCGGGCACTCCGAGCGGCTCATCCGGGAGTGCCTTAGGCCATTCCACTTCGATACGACAGCCGTATCCCTCTGCCCACTTGTTGCGCAACTACGCCCCCGCTCACTCAAAGGCTCCTAGCTCTGGCCTGAAGAACAAGCTGTCCATCGCCCAGATCTTGTCCTCCGTCGCGCGCCATTCATCGGAATCCTTGGTCACCTCCGACTACTCCAACATCGCTATCGCCAACCATCGCCGTCCTTCCCCGAGCACTTCTCCAGCACCCGCCACCGAGCGCTCCAAAACTGCCGTCGCTAACTATCCTCCCAATGCTTCGGCTTCTACTCCAACTCCAATCTCGTCATTACAAACCTTATCGTCGGCGGGATTGAAGGAAATAAAGTCGCCGGTATCAACATTGCCTTCGCAATCAGCCTCTTTATCATCCTCATCGTCTTCCTCATCACCATCCACTGGCTCATCATCATCATCAGGTTCTGGTCCCAAAACACCTTCTCCTTCACCATCAACACTGCCATCTTTGTCACCAAAAATAGTACTTTCAGTGTCATCTTCTGTGAGTTCATCTTCATCACCCCATTCACATAATCAGACTCGCTCACCTTCGCTGCCATCATCATCACGTGTTCGATCACATTCAAGGGCAGCTTTCACGCGGCCGCAATCGATATTATCAACGACAACTCAGTCATCTTTATCCACTATGCAAATGTCGACTGCGTTATCTTCACTATCCTTACCTACAACCCCATCATTATCTACACCTTCACCATCATCGCCATTACCATCATCATCATCCTCGTCATCTGTACCATCCACATCATCACCTTCGTCATCTCCAATATCTAAATCAACAGCATCGCCTCCTCAATCATCATTATCATCTTCATCATTTAAATCATCATCATCATCATTATCATCACTATCACCACTACCACCAAGACCACTCAAATCATCGCCATCTTCACCATCAAAATCATCATTACCATTTTCAAAATTAAAATCATCATCCACTGCATCATCGCCATCGTCTTCCTTTTCATCGTCGCCCGTTTTGTCTTCCTCTTCGTCTCTTCCTTCTTCCTCTTCTTCCTAAGCATCCTTCCCTCCTGCACCCTCTTCCTTCCCTTCCGGACTCTCCCTCCCTTACCCTGACAATCCCTTGCCTTGTCATCCTTCCTCATGCACGACGAAACAGACTTGGACCAGTAAGTACTGTGTTAGTTTTCTTCATTTCGTTTCAACGTTTTTTTCTTCTTTTCGTCTCTTGTTTTCTTCCCTATCTGGACTGTGGGTTCGATTCTCTTCAAATGCATGCAAGGAGATCTGAATTGACACGATTAAACGCAGGTGTATGGATTCACCAGTCATTCCTCCTCCATACGCACGTATTGGTCGCTGATTGGTTGAGCCACAGAGCTTGGCCAATGAGCGATTGCCACGTGGCGTGAGGAGACGGGTTATCCTACAGGAACGTGTTAATAACATGTCCGTCGACATGAATCTGCACTTACGGAGAAGACTTGCATGACATGTTTTGACAGAAGGTGCTATCCATTACATAATGATCACCATAATCATGACATGACAGTTGATAAGACAGTGATGGGAGAGGCGTTCCGGAAATAAATGTATGTCGGACGGATAAATAAGATAATAGGAGAATAATAGCATTGGGTGTATATTTGTATATATGTACATACCTAAATCTTTCGCAAAATAGTAATACGATGATATATGAAATTCTTTTGTTAATCAAAATTGAAGAATAAAATCACGTAATAATTTGAAAATAAACATCTATCCTTTTTTGCAGTATATTTACTAATAAGATATTAATTTTCTTTTCTAGTTCCCGAAAGCCATGATGATCACGATGGGAAATGCGCCGACGAAGCAGATCAAGTGTGCAAGTCAACTGGAATCTTCTTCCTCTCAAAGGCTCAGGTGAGAGAGAGAGAGAGAGAGAGAGAGAGAGAGAGAGAGAGAGAGAGAGAGAGAGAGAGAGAGAGAGAGAGAGAGAGAGAGAGAGAGAGAGAGAGAGAGAGAGAAGAGAGAGAGAGAGAGAAAGAGAGGGAGAGAGGGAGTTAGAGAGAGAGGGGGAGTTAGAGAGAGAGGGAGTTAGAGAGAGAGAGGGAGTTAGAGAGAGAGAGAGTTAGAGAGAGAGAGAGAGAGTTAGAGAGAGAGAGAGAGAGA